CACTTTGCTCAACATTTTGTAAAGAAGGCAATTCTGAGCTAGACAGATGGGGATGAAGGAGGATGGAGAAAGGATAATTTTGTTTTATCTGTGTGGGTTTCTTACCGTGTCATCCAAAATGAAAAGTTATTATCCATCCTGACGCTCAAAAAACCTAAAGTCTGGAAGTCTAAGAGATTCCCTTCTTTTTTTCATGTGATTCATTTCTGCCTGTTGATGGGTTTCAATTCCCATGGGACTGCCATTGTTCAGCCATCACATTCAGCTCAGCTCAGATTCTGAACCTCTGTTAATTCCAAGGACAAATTTTTCTGTTGCTGCTATAGCATCACTATGGTAACAATATGGCACAGATTGGGAAATGTTAAGAAAAATAAAACTGCACTATGTGGGCTCAGGAGAACATCAGATGTGTACATAAAACAAAGAGAGAAGGTCACGTTGCTTCACACTGGATGGCCTGGAGAGAGAAAAGGTTGATTTTCTTTTTGAGCTCCAACTTCTACTTCAGATAAGGCAAGTCAGTTACTCTTTGTGTAATGAGATTGCATCAATGTTAATTTTCAAATTTTGATCATTGTTTTGGGGATGTATAGAATATCTATGAGTTTAGAAAACAGACATGAGGGACCAGAAGATGGTGTCATGGCTACGTTGCTGGACTCCCATGTATTCAACTGAGGTTCCAGTCATGGACTACAGTGTGGCCATCCCCCCTGGGGGGTGAGTTCTTGATTTCTGTCTCACTGTCTCTGTCTTTCTTGCCCCCTGTGCATACGCCCTATAGCAAAAATCTCTCCTTAAAAAAAAAAAGAAAGAAAGAAAGAAAGAGAATAGACATGAAAGTATTGAGACAAAGGTACATTTTGTCAAAACTTATTCTCAAATAGTCACCCATCCCTGCTTCACAAATATTAATAATATATAAAAAGATAATGAGAATGATGCGGTAAATAGGTTGAAGTGTTACCATTTGGAGAATTTTAGAAATCTTTTATAATTTTCCTTTAAGTCTGGAATTAATAATAAAAAGGCATATATGTAATATAATCCAGATATCATCCTTATGAGCTATGCTGCTTTGTGTCAATATCAAATGGAACCAGACCTTCTAATGATTTCACAAGAAATAGGATTACAAGTATTTCTGTGGTTTTGGCAGCCTTTATCAAGGACTGGCAAGGACTACTAGAGGGATACTGGCTAATACTTGTATTTTGCTCTTCAAACCCCATGGAATACCTCTCTTCCTCACAGTCTCTCTGCGCCCATCAGCACAATGGGATGGTTTCCCTCTCCTCTCTCCAGACCCAGCTTTGCCATCTGTACAGTAAGTTTCTCTTACCTGCCACTGCAAGTAAAGTGGACCCAAAAGATAAAGCTGTTGAGAACATGATCTTCCTTTTTGACAGTTTATAAAGGAAGTCTCAGAGCAGTTGAATATTATTATCACGTGAAATAAGATAGTTTGAAGCCTTTTCAAAGCCTCTTGTCTGAGAAGACATGAGAAACTGGGCTGCAGTCTAACAGTCTACAATACCAGCTATGAGATAACACCGAGAGAGGTTTGAGATGTCCTACAGATCTCAGTGTGAGTCATTCCTTAAACCAATAGCCAATATATGGTATTTTCTGTCCATAGCTAGAATTCAAGGGTCAAGGAATCAAGGAGATACTCTTCTCACTTATACACCAATAACTTATTTAAGGGATTCTTTTTATTTCTTACCAGCTCCCATGAATTTGGGCTTAGTAGCTTTGGGGCCTCTAACACCCAAAGGAGGAATATGTCCACCAGGCAATTTACAGGAGATTGAATTCAAAATGAGACAAAGAAAGAAGGCATTATACAGCCTTAGGTAATGAATTGATTATCATACTAATGGGAATTTGAGTTGCGGCTACACAAGCAAGTCAAAGAGGTCTAGAATCTAGGACCTAGGAATTTATTGGCAAGTTCATATAAAGTACTCATATGTCCAATAGTCCTGATCAATGGAAAACTTGAAAAGAGCACTGAGATTTCAAATCCTGTAGGGTCAAAGGTTTCAGTCATCCTATAAAGAACTTGCTATAGTGAAGAGCTAGGAGATAAAAAGGGGCACATGCAAGTGGTGGGGAAGAGGAAGCTGTGATTCTCAAATTTTATGACCAACTATTTAAGCAGGACCTCTAACAGCTACGTTTTATATTAATCATTTATTCCCACCCTTTTTCTCTCGATGTTAGAGTGATACTAGTGATTAACATTTGATGTTTCAGGTTGCAGTATGTTCAAATTAAATTATCCTTTTATGATAAAATAGCTAATGGAACTTTTTGTGTGACTCAAAAGGCATGTTCAATTTTTAAAAAATGATTTATTTATTATTATTTTTTCTTTTTTTTGAGAGGTTTTTGCTATAGGACGCATGCGTTCACCAGACAGACAGAGAGAAACAGAGAGACAGAAAGCGAGAAATCACCCCCCCAAGCGGGGAGGTGGCCACGCTGCAATCCCTTCTCCTCCATTCTCCTCTCAGGATCTTGGGCACACACGCACACATGCCCGGCGTGAGTTTAAGCCACTGGGTCCGGGACCCGGACCGCGGTCGACTACGTGGGAGTCCAGCGACATAGCCATTATGCTAACTGCTGGTCTCATATTTATTTATTTATTTTTTTCACATAAGTTTTGCCAGAGAGTAAGAGAGAGAGAGGGAGAGTAAGAAAGCAAGCTGCCAGGTCCGGAACTCGAACTGCAGCCAGCCATGTGGGGATTCCAGTGCCTTAACCACAAAACCACCTGCTGGATCCAATGTGACAAAAGGACAAGGACAAGAGATGATGGTCAGGGCAGAGGGGGTATAAGTTACAGGATATTTTTCATTTGTGCCTTCTGATCTTTCAACCTGCTTTATGTCTTGCAAATTTGATCTATACAGATTACAGCCGGGGCACCCTTGCCCTCTGCTTTCTCGTTAGGTTCAAACCAGAGAGAAAAGGTCTCTGTTACAACTATCCAGCTCTGCTGTTCTTGCAGAATAGCAGGCATAGACAATAAGGATATTTTGACCATGCTCCCAATAAAACCTTATTTATGATTACTAAATTAGAATTTTATATATTTTCACATATCTCAAAATACTATTCCTCTTTTAATGATTCAATCATTTAATTTATAAAAACCCTTCTTAGCGTATGGGCTGTATAGAACAGGCAGCTAAAGTAACAGTTGTTCACCTTGGGCCTAAAATGAGAAGTCCCAGGAAAGTAATAAAACTGTGTGGTAAAAACCCTGGGGAAAAAGGAAAAGGCCAGGGTGGATGTAATTGTTACTTTTCTTTTCCCTCACACTTTTCCCCCACTGGATCTTCCATCTCTTTTTCCAGCATAGCTCTTCAGGGATCCTCATCAACCAAAGTGCCCACACTGTTGTCTCATATCTCCAATGTTATTGCTCCCAAGAGTATTTTGTTTAACGAGGTTTTTGGAAGACTGAAAACATTCAGGACCTAAAATATTACAGTCCAGAGACCCAAGCTGGTTTGACTCTTGGAGAGTGACAAGACAGAGAGGCAAGGCTGTTGGTGAGAGAAGAAAGAATTTTTTACAGTGTGACCACACCAGGAAGCCATGTAAAATATCTTCGACTGGAAACCCAATATAAATAGCTTTTAAAACAGAAGGAAGGAGCTGTGGCAATGTACAAAAAAGCCAGGTAAAACTTTAGCTCGGTTTAGTTAAAAGTATAATTAAGCTTCTCAACAGGAGTATGGGGTTCCCAGTGATGAAACGTTCCTCACTGTTTTGAGTTTCAGAAGGACTACCCATGATATGTCTCCCTGGGGTTCTTCTTTATTTAAAGAATTATTATTTTGGGGGACCAGCAGTTAGCAATGGCTATGTCACTGGACTTGCACGTAGCAGTTCGCGTCCCGGACCCAGTGGCTTAAACTCACGCCGGGCGCGTGTGCGTGCGTGCCCAAGATCCCGAGAGGAAAATGGAGCAGAAGGGATTGCGGCATGGCCATCCTCCTAGGGGGTGATTTCTACATTTTTTTCCCCAAATTTCCTTTCCTATGCTCTTACCCTTCCACACACTTTCCACTTTGGTTCTAGTGTTCATAATAATTTTTTTAAAAATAATTATTTTATTTTATTCATTCATTCATTTATTTTTTAATTTGACCAGAGAGAGACAGAGGTTGAGAGTGAGAGAGAGAGGAAGTGAGAAAGCAAGCACCAGATTCAAGACTCAAAACCTGGTGGGCCATGTGGAAGTGTCCAGCGCCATAAGCACCATGCCACCTGCTGGTACCGTAAAGAATTATTTTACTTAACTTTATTTACCCATTTTAATTTGACTAGAGAGGGAGAGAGAAATTGAGAAAGCAAGCCACCAGGTCCGACCCTGGAACTGCAGTAGTGCATGTGAGGAGTCCAGAACCCTTAACCACCACGCCAACCTGCTGGCCCCTGAGGTTCTTAAGAGAGATCTCAAAGAGTATCAAGCTAAGGAGAAAAGGAAAAGCAATTTAATGAACAATATGGAGTCCCCCTGACTAGAGCAGGCCCCTATTACAAAAGCATAGCTTCCTCGTGAGGCACTTCCGTGCATCGAAAGGTAACGTTTCGTTCTTGTGAATAAATGATGAGCCGATCTGCTGAAATAATAATAGGATAATAGGATGTTGGCTTCTATACCCTTCACG